ATTGTCAGTAAATGTAAATGCTAATAATTAAATAACACAGTTCTTGCGGAAGAGTGTCATCTGAGCCCTGGAAATATTAAGTCTGTCTTGGGAGAACTTTTCGAGCAGAGACTTTGCTTTGGTAATTTAGTAGTCCCATAATTACTCTAATAATTTTAAATTTGGTGTTGAACTCCAGTCTACATAAAATCATGCAATAATAGCCTACTAAGCTGTTTATTGCCTTCTCATAAATTTGAGTGCGCTGACTGCTAAAATCTACTGGCAAACACAAAAGAAAATGGAAAGTTCAATTTACAATCGCAGAGCCCGGGCGCTGCTGCCTGGAGTTATTCTTAGCTCTACCTTTCGCTCCACTCGGCTCCAGCACAGGGGGAACCCCCTGGCATTTTCAGCTCAAACTCATACCTTAGCCGTTTTGATCCCTAATCAATAGTCATGTTACAAACGGCAATAATCATCGATCAAGCGTGTCCTGACTGGGTTGCCCCACTCGTGTTAAATATGGAGCGTGCATCTGAAAATGTTGCCAGCGACTTTCTGTTATTTATTTTGGAGCTATTAAGTCACGCCACCATATTTTACACTGCCACAGTCCTTTAAACTATGCTGCTTCTTGAAAGAGTTGCTAAGTAGCAATAAAGCACTTTACAAACGCTATGACATTTTTTTTTTAATTTGTTGTTATCCCAAACTCTAATATTCATTGCGGCACTTTAAGTTCGTACATAAATCGTTCAGACTAATGAGTCATAGAGAAATTCGCCCATGACTTTTCCTTTACAATGCTCACTGCCTTTCCATTGCTTTTTTGGCCCTGCATTAGGAGCCGGTGATTTATTAACGCCAGGAAAATTGAACAAAGCAGGTCCTCCTGCACTGTGGCACCCAGCCTTCCACAGTGTGAATTAGAACATTATCAAATGTGTTTGCCTCGGTAACACTTAATCACCAAAAGCCGTAATGTGACCACAAGGCAGCTAAAACAAAGATTTAACATTTCTAAATATTAAACTTGTTAAGCAAATGCTCAGCAGACAAAGCAAGCACAAACAATTAAAGTCATCAAGCTAGAAATACACACTACCTACTTACCAACACAGACCCTACTGCTTGCTTAAGAAGTTTAGAATCTTTCAAGATAAATCAGGTGGGTTTTTTTTTAAGGGAGAAAAAAAAAAAAGAAAGAAAGAAAGAAAAACAAACTCCAGTAATAAGGAGTTGAGTTTCACTTCTGAGAGAATCACTCCTAGTGAGGACTGACGGCCACAGATCCATTCCTGACTATCTGCATTAATTATTTAATGAGTCACGTGACCCTAAAGATTAAAATTTCAATATCTCCCCCAGAACAGACGCAACACCTTTATCTGCGAGCGCAGGGATCCTCGTACTTGGGTCCCCTAATCTCTGCTGGCTTTGACAGCTCCTCAATTTCTAGGGAGAGCGCTTGGGCATTAATAACACGGATTTGTCCCGCTCTGTGCAGCGAGATGGGGCACCTTTGTACCCACCCAGCACCCCAAATTAGCCAGTTGAACCCAGATCCTCATTGTCTGCAGCGGGGGAGGGGGGAGCTCAGCTCTCTGCTGGCAGGGGGACAGGGGAGCATCAGGGGCGGCATCCCCCGGGCTGCCCTCCGCGGCTCAGCACTGCCTGTCCGCGGGCCCGGGCGGAGCCAGGAGGGCTGC